AGGGCCTTGTGCAGGTCTGGAGGGCTTGGGGTCAAGGAGAACTGTGCAAAAAATCGTCCCAAATCTGCCCAAAATCACTCCAAAATCGTCCTCAAATCTGCCCAAAATCACTCCCAAAATTGTCCCCAAATCTGCCCAAAATCACTCCCAAAATCGTCCTCAAATCTGCCCAAAATTACTCCCAAAATCACATTCAAAACTGCCCAAAATCGTCCTCAAATCTGCCCAAAATCACTCCCAAAATCCTCCTCAAATCTGCCCAAAATCACTCCCAAAATCATGTTCAAATCTGCCCAAAATCACTCCCAAAATCCCCTGAAAATCACCAAAAAATCCCCTGAAAATCCCCTAAAATCACTCCCAAAATTGCCCTGAAAATCACACAAAAATCACCCCAAAAATCCCTCAAATCTGCCCAAATCTGACATGGCCAGGGACACCAGGGCCTTGTGCAGGTCTGGAGGGCTTGAAGTCGAGAAGAATTGTGCAAAAAATCGTCCTCAAATCTGCCCAAAATCACTCCCAAAATCCCCTAAAAATCACTCCCAAAATCCCCTAAAAATCAGTCCCAAAATCCCCAGAAAATCACCCCAAAAATCCCTCAAATCTGCCCAAAATCACTCCCAAAATCGTCCTCAAATCTGCCCAAAATCACGTTCAAAAACACCCAAAAACACTCCCAAAATCCTCCTCAAATCTGCCCAAAATCACCCCAAAATCCCCTACAAATCACTCACAAAATCCCCTGAAAATCACCCCAAAAATCCCTCAAATCTGCCCAAAATCACTCCCAAAATCCCCTGAAAATCACCAAAAAATCCCCTGAAAATCCCCCCAAAAATCTCCTAAAATCACTCCCAAAATTGTCCTGAAAATCACACAAAAATCACCCCAAAAATCCCTCAAATCTGCCCAAATCTGACATGGCCAGGGACACCAGAATTGTGCAAAAAATCACCCCAAATCTGCCCAAAATCACTCCCAAAATCACGTTCAAATCTGCCCAAAATCACCCCAAAATCCTCCTCCAATCTGCCCAAAATCGTCCTCAAATCTGCCCAAAATCACTCCCAAAATTGTCCCCAAATCTGCCCAAAATCACCCCAAAATCCCCTAAAATCACTCACAAAATCCCCTGAAAATCACCCAAAAATCCCCTGAAAATCTCCCCCAAAATCCCCTAAAATCACTCACAAAATTCCTTGAAAATCACCCAAAAATCACCCCAAAAATCCCCTAAAATTACTCCCAAAATTGTCCTGAAAATCACACAAAAATCACCCCAAAAATCCCCTAAAAATCACTCACAAAATTCCTTGAAAATCACCCCAAAAATCCCTCAATTCTGCCCAAAATCACTCCCAAAATCGTCCTCAAATTTGCCCAAAATCACTCCCCAAATCCCCCGAAAATCACCAAAAAAATCCCCTAAAAATCACTCACAAAATCCCCTGAAAATCACCCAAAAATCCCCTAAAATCACTCCCAAAATTGTCCTGAAAATCACACAAAAATCACCCCAAAAATCCCCTAAAATCACTCCCAAAATTCCTTGAAAATCACCCAAAAATCCCCCCAAAAATCACCAAAAAATCACCCTAAGTCACCCCAAACCTGCCCAAAATCCCTGCCCCAAAATTCCTTCCAACTCATCCTGAAATCCCCCCAGAATCCTCCAATTTCTCCACAAAATAGCCCCAAAATCACCCAAAAATCTCCTGAAAATCCCCCAAAATCCCCCCAAAGGATACTGACAGTGTAGGTGCCCCCTCCACTGTCCCCCGACTTCCCCACAAACTCCAACTGCAGGGAAAAAAATTTGGATTTTTACTTCAAATTTGGAATTTTACTTCAAATATGGAGTGGAAAGAGGAAGAAGATTTCAGGCAAAAAATATCTTTAATTTATAACTACAACTTTTAACTTTATAACTTCAACTTATAGTTTTAAGTTATAACTTAATATGAGTTAAATAACTCAAGTATTCTGAAATAAATTCAGCATCTGTTAAATACCTTCAGTGCCAGTAAAATAGAATACCGAATTTTATTTAATACCTGATAAATAATAAATAATAAAATATATTTTATATAGTATATAACACAAATAATTATTATATGTTATATATGTTATATATGTTATATATGTTATATGTTATATATGTTATATGTTATATATGTTATATGTTATATATATTAATGTTAGATATTATTATAATGTAATGTAATGTAATGTAATATAATAATAAATTTTATTGATTTAAAAATCTTCAGCACCTGTTAAACACCTTCAATGGCAGTAAAATAGAATACAGAATTCTATTTAATATCTAATAAATAATAAAATATATTTATATATTATATAACATAAATAATTATTATATGTTATATATGTTATATATTATATATATTAATGTTATATATTATTATAATGTAATGTACTGAAATGTAATGTAATGTAATATAATATAATAATAAATTTTATTGATTTAAAAATCTTTATCACCTGTTAAACACCTTCAATGCCAGTAAAATAGAATACAGAATTCTATTTAATACCTGATAAATAATAAATAATAAAATATACTTATATATTATATAACATAATTATTATATATTATACGTTATATGTTAAATATTATATATGTCAATGTTATATATTACTATAATGTAATGTAATGTAATATAATAATGAATTTTATTGATTTAAAAATCTTTATCACCTGTTAAACACCTTCAATGCCAGTAAAATAGAATACAGAATTCTATTTAATACCTAATAAATAATAAATAATAAAATATATTTATAGATTATATAACATAATTATTATATATTATATGTTATATGTTATATGTTATATATGTCAATGTTATGTATTATTACAATGTAATGTAATATAATATAATAAATTTTATTGATTTAAAAATCTTCAGCACCTGTTAAACACCTTCAATGCCAGTAAAATAGAATTCAAAATTCTATTTAATACCTGATAAATAATTTCAGTATCTTTGATAT